GGAGCTCACAGTAGCTGTGTTGGTGATGACACCTCACATCCCAGAAAGCAAGGGCAGTGGCTCCTGCTCTGGCTCTGTCACTAACAAACTACGGGACTTGGGGAAACTTCATCTTCCCACCCTTCTGTTCCTCCTCCTAGACGAAAGCAGTGATGTCTTCTAAGAGTTCCTCCACTCTGTGATTCCGGGTGGCCCTCTTGCCCGGGCCCTAAGGCTCCTGGTCCTGGGTGGACACTGGTGGGACCTGAAGGGGTGGGGAGAGGGGGACAGCAGAGATATCTGTCCAGCCTGCCCCGAGGCCCACACCTCCACCCTTAGCAGGAGCCTGGTGCCAACAGCTGGATGCTAAGGACAGTTACCCACGGACGCCTCCCAATCTGGAGTGAGTCTCTGGCAGGGAATGAAATGTTCCAGCAGCAAGAACATCAACAACCTCCCCTCGGGCTCTGGGATCAGGCTGAGAGGAGAGTCTGATGCACCAACGTGCCATTCTTGCCTGGTAGCTGGTTTACTTCTCAGAAAAGAAAACTACCCTCCCCACTCTCCCTGCTTTTTTAGGCTGGAGGCTCCCTCCTAAAAAGTCCTGAGGAATGTTCGCCAAATGCCAAATCCAAGTCAGTTTGGAGGTCTGGCAATGTTCCATGGTGTCTCGGGTAGGCACAGTGAATGGGGAGGGACGAATGAGTGTTCCAGGGGCTGGGAGGGCAAGAGCACAGAGCGCCCAGCCAAGGGAGAAGAGCGTGACCCAGGGGTGCATCCTAGAGGATGCATCCTCGGATGGCCCAAGATGGGAAGCCAAGGGGGCTCAGGAGGCACAAGAGTCTGATGCCCAGGGTGAGGGAGCATCTGGGCAGAAATATAAGGCTTGCAACAAGATTCTTTTGGTAGGAAGCAGAGCAATACACAGAAAATTGTGTCCTGGGAGCCAGAAGTGAATGGCCGTCTGCCAGCTTGCTCCACATTAGGTCCTCAGTTCATCCTCTGAGAGTACAGCAGGTCAAGAGAATCCCCAGGAGGCTGGGCCACACATCACAGAGTTCTTTTCAGCCAAGGTGCACAGAATGCTGACAAGTAGCCTACTCCTCTGGAGGGAGTGCAGTGGGGAGAAGAAGAGGGAGCTGTTGCTTTCAGGTTTGGAGGAAAACATCTATTGAGGGGTCCGAGAGTCTCTTCCCCTTTCTGACCTGAGTTTCCTCCACTATCAAATACAGGAGTTGGATTTGAGAGTTCCCAAAGCTCCTTCCAGCTCTGACATTTTGAGAGTCTATGATTATTATGAATAAATAAATGAGACTATGCAGTATTTGTCTTTCAGCATCAGGCTTGTTTCACTTAGCATAATGTCATCCAGATTCATCCATGTCACAAAGCACAAGATTTTTTCCTTTTTAGGGCTAAATAATATTCCATTTCATACACAGACCACATTTTCTTTATCCATTCCTCTGTTGATGGACACTTAGGTTGATCCCATACCTTGGCTATTGTGAATAAGACTGCAATGGAGCCGGGCGCGGTGGCTCACGCCTGTAATCCCAGCACTTTGGGAGGCCGAGGCGGGTGGATCACGAGGTCAAGAGATCGAGACCATCCTGGTCAACATGGTGAAACCCCGTCTCTACTAAAAATACAAAACATTAGCTGGGCATGGTGGCGCGTGCCTGTAATCCCAGCTACTCAGGAGGCTGAGGCAGGAGAATTGCCTGAACCCAGGAGGCGGAGGTTGCGGTGAGCCGAGATCGCGCCATTGCACTCCAGCCTGGGTAACAAGAGTGAAACTCTGTCTCAAAAAAAAAAAAAAAGACTGCAATGAACACGGGAGTGCAGATATCTCTTCAACAAATTAATTTCATTTCCTTTCGATATCTACCCAGCAGTGGGATTGCTGGATAACATATTTTTTAATTTTTTCTACTTTTGATTTTTTGAGAAACCTGTATACTGCTTTCCATAATAACTACTAGTTTAAATTTCCACCAAGAATGTACAAGAATTACATTTCTTTCACATCCTTGCCTCCAAAAAAGTCAAACTTATAGAAGCAGAAAGTAGAATGGTGGCTGCCAGGGGTTGGGAGTGGTGGTGGGGTTGCGGGGAATAGAGTGAGGCTAGTTACATAGCACAAAGTTTCAGTTAGGCAGAAAGAATAAATTCTGGGATCTCATTTGCAGCATGGGGACTAAAGTTGATTATGTGTTACATACTTGAGAATTGCTAAAAGATTCTATCTTAAATGTTCTCATCACAAAAAATGGTATGTGAGGTGATGCACATGTTAACTCGCTTGATTTAACCATTTCATCACCTATACATATATCAAAACAGCTCACTGTACACGATAAATATATAACATTTTTACTTGTCAATTATACCTTAATAAACATTAAAGCAGTAAGAAAAAACAAAAAGAAGAGACAAAAAGAGGAAAATAAGAAAGAAAAGTTTGAGGGGAAAAAAAACAGTAAGATTGCAGAAGAGTGGGGAGAACTGGCCACTTTTTAAGGCAGATGAGCTTTGGAAAGTGGAATAGTGCCCTTGGTTGCACTAAGGGGAATTAATCTTTCAAGGCCTAAAATTTCTCTATAAAGCCTCAACCCCAGTACAAGAGGCCCCATGTTGATTAGGGCCCTTCAGCTCTAAGCCTAGCGATTGCTTTGGAAGCACTGGGCAGACCCAGATTCCTACCCTGGAGAACTCTACTCTAAGAACAGAGGACCCTGAGCTCCAATTACGCTGTCCATGAAAAGAAGTCTGAGCAGTTCCTGAGCCTGTGGCTGCAGCCCAAGTCCGTAGCTCATGCCTAAGTGGGGCAGGGCAAGCCCAGGCGGGAGGATTAATGACAGTGACTGAATATTTTATAAGTGGAATATTGTGTATTTTCCAAAACCAAATGGAATGTCATTTTTTTCCCCCAAGAGAGATGGGGGATGTCACTGTTCTCGTTTCCCATTCAAACCACATATTCGATGGCAAACAAGATGAATGGGACTGGGAGTTTCCAGGGGAGAGGGCAGAGACAGAAGGAAAGGAAAAAAATCCTTTTTCATTTGTTCCTCCCCCTGGCAGCCTGTCCTTAACATTGCTGCTTTACTCGTCACCCAATATTTGAATCCACTGTCCCCTGAACCACTCCAGCTACCAACCCAGGGATTACATCCCTTTCCCTGACCCCTGAATGGCCTCTGTCCATAAGGAGATTAAATCACAAGGTCACCTAATCCATCCTTCTGTTTCCAAGAAATACAAGGTATCGGACATGAAAAACTTGCCAGCAGATCTTCCTTTGTGTTCTTATTCAAGGTCTTATTTTCTTTCCATATAACTTCCTTTGGTCTAACTGAAGTCTATCTCATTGCAGATGAAGGCCGGGCCCTCTAAATGTTGACTTTGGTGGAGAATGAAATGTAACTGGACTCCCTCCTTAGGGTGGAAGCTCTGCCTAGTCTTCACGTAAAAGTCTTAGGATTCAAGTGCTTCTGAAACCCTGGATCTAGCATTGCCTCCAACTTGCCTGCTTGAATGCATTACCGGCCTGTGCAAATGGAACTATTTGATTAGCGCTGGAGTGGTGAGAGGCCTCTTCCCTTCTCAACACCCTATTACATGCTCCAAGGCCACCCACATGCTCCGCTGCTTTGCATTTGCCCTGCAATCTTTCATGCCAGTTGACTTTTCATCTCCAAATCCCTTTTCACATTAAACACAAACCCACACACTCTGTCCCATTTTCCTTTGAAATAAATCATAAGCCCATGCCAGAAACGACTCAGGGTGTTCTCTGGAATTTGTAAACAGCATTAAAGTCTTGTGGGAAATGTCACAGAGTGTTGGTCTGAATTTATTAAGTAATTTCTCAGCTTAAAATATATCTTTCCAGCCTGCTGTCTGACAACATTTACCTCTAATGGAATTTTATCCACCCTTGATCACTAAACTAAGCACACTCCTATCCCAGAGTGCAGATTCCTGAGCTCTTCCAGTTCGGCTCTCAGTCAGCTAGGCTTCAGACATACTAACTGTACCCTGCCTTTCAAAACCAGTTGGAGCTCTAAGCGCCCGGCTATTCTCTATTTCCGAGGGTGCTAGTACGCCATTACACCACATGTACATGGATGCCACTGAACTTACAAACATATTCAGCACTCGCCGGTGGCAGAGTCAGGGAATGTCTCAAAGCAGGTTCTTATTCCTCCCAAATCTCCATCAGCTCCCAAGCTACCCTAAACAAACATACTATTTAAAACAAAACCATAATTGACTGTACAAAGTAGCTACAAGATCAGCCCCCTAGCTTGCCTCCTCTTTTTTCAACCAATTGTCATCTGTCAGCCCCTCCTTTAGAGAAATGTTGGCATTGTCCTTGGGTGATTTTGATCTCTAGTTTCAGTCAATTAAACAATACATTTATAAAGAGCAGCTGTTTTGTACAAAGTTGAAACGAAGTGAGGAAATGAAGAGGCTCTCAGCGTATGTCCTTCCCAGATCAATTCTCTTTCCGTGGCCTCGGGCCTACTTGCTTTCAGGACCCATCCTAAGCAGGCCAAGAAGCATTTCAGCAACATGAGCCTGGCATGGGTCTTAGTACTCTAAGCCCAGCGTCCAGGTTAACTCATCTCAGGCCTTGCTACAACTCTGAATGTCAGTGTTCGCTACCTGTAATGCACAGAAGATAGTAAAACACACTGGTCAAAAAATCTGCACCATGGAATCAGACAGGGTGGAAATCCAAGTTCTGCTACTTACTAGCTGTGTGGCCTTGGAAAGGCTGCTTAACTACTCTCTGCTGCAGTTTCTTTATCTCTATAATGACAATAATATAATGATGGTCCTACCTCATAGGGTTATTTTGAGAAATAAAATTCTATATGTAAAAATGCACAAAATAATGCCTAGTTATTTTTAAATAATGAATCAATCATAATTCATAAAAAGTCATTATTAGTTATCATTATTAAAATGCTAGCTGCCACTTGATTGTCTGGCTGGCAGTGCACCCTTACCTTCTTGTCTTCTAATTAGACATACCAGTCATTCGGTGTCTGTAAACCGTTTACTGCCTGGTGACTGAAGAGAGGCTCAGGAACTGGCTGCCCAGGCTGGATGTGCCCAACACTTGCCTCTGAATATGGCTCTTCTCCTGGTACCCACTGCTTTGAGGATGCAAGAACACATTTAGCTCTCAAGAGGGTTTGCATTTCTGGAACTGAAGGTAGAAGTTGCCCACCGTGCCTTCTTCCTGAGAGACTGCCAGGAGAGCCCCCTTTGGGGTAGGCCAGCAGCTCCCTAGTGGCAAGCGTGGAACCAGGGCAAAAGGAGATTAAGGTTTTAAAAGTGAAAATGGTTTCAATAGCCAATCTTAGAATGGAAGTTTAAAGCAACAGTTCATCAGACTAATCACAAAAGTGTCCCCAAAAGCTAGTAAGAAACAGGAAATCTGAGACAAACTATAAGTGAATTAAAACCCATGAGGCCAGGTTAAGAACCCAAGTATAGAACTGAAACTTTGAGAGTATTCCTATTAGAAATGCTGTCTTGTTCTGGAACATATGCTCTGTTTGAACACACCCCTTCTCTGTTCTAAGAATATACTGACAAAATAGATGGAAATCGCAGGTGCATGTGCTGAAAATGTTTCTTGGTGTTCCTTTTAATCGGGACCCAAGACAGTACCCAAAGTTCTGTTTGACAACATCACCTCAAACATGTTACAATTAATTAGACAACTCTTCTCCACATCACATTTTAATTTGGAAAGACGTGGGAGACATCTTTGTTTCTTAAGGAGATTTGCAAATTAATCTAAACTCACTGAAAATACATTTACAAACTCGCAGTGGGTTAGTTATGTGTATTCCAACCTCGTTCTCATTTTTCAACTTCAAAGGATGGTTTTCTAACTGTGTGTCTGAAGTCTAGAGGATATTTTGAGTCGTTTGGGAGATGAAATAAACTATACATTTATTTGTTTACTTTATACTTTGGCTTTTTAAATAAGTGTAGAGAGTATGAGACAATTTAAAACGTTTCTTCTGTGTCTTAAACCCTGATGAAAGCAGTGGGTTGAAAGAACGTTCCTACATTTCAAGACGAGCACTCAGCCAGTGGGCAGAAGGCGGGACTGCGTGCCCAGGAAGTCAGTGGCCAAGCCTGACTTGGGAGTCTGCCTCAGGGCTATCAAATCCAACAGTTAATGAGTAAAACTATAGAAACAACAGAGAGCATGAGGACAGGTAAGAAGGTCAAATGCAAGCCGGTCAGAGCTGAACATAAATCTAGGATTAATTGTAAGTGAATTAAACCTACCAGCTCAATGAAGTAGATAATTTTGCATTTGACATGTATATGTGTTAGTATCATTTTTGTATGTGTGTGTGCAAAGAAAACTTATTCTATTTGTACTTTCTCAACGTTCATTAGGAAACTTCCTTTTCTTCAAAAAAAAAATAGTATTTGTTTTTGAAAGATCATGTGATATTTCCTGTCGGTAGGGCTGCTTTTGAAAGTCATGCCCCTGGGAAGTTGTTTTCAAATCTTGATCAGATTTTCTGGGAGTCTCTGAGGCAGGAGGGGCAGGTATCTGCATCTTGTACACATTTCTCGGTTGAGTCTGAGGACCAGTAAAGCGTGAAAACCATCACCCTAGAAAACAGCTCTGTCTTCCTCTACAGCGCATGAGCTACATAAGGAACTGCGACTTAGTGCTTATACTCTCTCACTTCTCTCTTTCATTTCTACCTGCGAACCCATTAGAATATAGGCAAAGTTATTAGAAAGAACTCCCTTGAGATGTTATCCCTGCCTCCCAGGAGAATATAATAGGAAGGCAAGGCGTAGGCATGGAAGTTCATTACTAACACAAGCAACCTGGGATGGGCAGGGTGGGAAGGTCCTGTTGGCACATATGTAGAAGCACAGACAAGCAAAAGATAGGGGTACTGCGACTGGAGATGACTTTGTAATAAAAATAAGTCTTGGGAGTGCTAAAGGATGGGTAGGGTGTACAGAGACAAGTCCTTGGCAGTGTATTGCCAGGTGAGAGAAGGCTGCAACTTGAGGCTGGCGTGCAATTATCAGGGTTCCTCTTTGCTGTGATAATATGCTAATTAAAATTGTCTTCTGCTTCCACAGGCACTATCTAGTTAATGCTCAAAAAGGAGGAATTTTTTTTAAATGAGTCCATAAAATTTAGTACCAACTTAATTTTTATTCATTGTGAATCAATGCAGATACAAGAATAGATCTAACACATCGTTGTTGAGTGTTTTGGAATCACGACACATTCTTGGCTGGAATCAGAAAGGTGTTAAGACTAAAGAGAAGGTCCCAGGTCTGCAATTCCACTTGTGGTTGCATTTCTGCCCTGGGCATCTTCTGATAGGAACATGTCCAGGAACAGGAAGTCAGTGAAACCCAGTAATGGGTATAGGGTAAATCTATAGGGCATATATACACACCACCATGGTCCTGGGTAACCAGGGCCTCTGCCCTTGGCTCCACAGTTTAGAGACCCCTGTAGTCCACCCCTCTTCCCTCTTATCCCCTCCTCAAGGGTGACAAGTCCACAGGTGAAGAGACATGCCCTCCAGGAGCCTATTGCCTCCCTTGTAGATGACACTCTGGGTACTTGGGACACTGGAATTTCCTGCCCTTCACAGGCCACTTCCACAGGTCCATATTCCCAAGGGTGGACAGTGCCACAAATGTGTGTACCCCTCATACACACTTGTAGAAACAGAGCTTGGGCAAGTGGGTAAAGGCCTTAAAGGATGGATGGGTAAGAGTTGAAGTCAGCAAGGGAAAGAGCTAGGAGATGGTCTGGAAGGGTCTCAATTCCTACCCTTCTCTGCACCATAAAAATATTAAGGAGGTCACCAAAAATCCCAGCCCCTTGGGAATTGTGACAGCCCCTTTCTATTTCCTGTCCAAAAGTCAAATATTAATGGGCTATACCCTACATCTTATGTTTCCATGGTGAAAGAGGCATTCCACTCTATTCCCTGGGAAAGGACACTTAAACCCTCTCCATCCTCTCTCCACTCCCTCTGGCTCTCCCCAGAGGAGAAGAAATGACCTATCTGATTGGCGAGGTTGGAGAAACATTTGTAAATGCATAACTCAGCCCTTCCTGCGCTCTCTTATAGACTCTACCTGCCTGTGGCCATCATCTTTCCTCCTCCATGCAGGGATTAGAGGGAAGCTTAAAGCTTCTCCATTCTGTGAATGATATATTTGTAGATCTAGTTCAGGGAGGATGAAGTAGAAAGCCTGTATTTGGCCGTAGATCTGACAGCAATCATGGCTGTCTCCAGCTGCAGACCCAACGTCTTCTTCTGCATGTGGAAATGGACCGGCAGCTCTACAACGCCAAGTCTGAGATAAGCCATGAGGGTCTTGGTGGAGAATAAGAGAGTAGGAAGTGAGAAGGGGAAGGAGGCAAGAAATGTCTCATCAGTTTAGGAAGGAAAATAATTAGAACAAGGGACGAGGAACCATGGGGAAAAAACTGTGAAGGACATTCAAGGGCAGTTGAAAGAAACAGCTTTGTCTGGATAAAGCAGAGGAAAAGGGGATTGAAAGAGAGATAGAAGGTAGGGGACACAGCATTCTTGGAATTTAAGTAGGCCATGGAGCAAAGGATTTTTAGGTTCAAGAGAACCTGAAAGGGCTCTGGAAGGTGCAGATGACGTACACAGGAGTGAAGACTCGGAATCCAGTGATCCCAAGAGCCAAGAATGACTGGAGGATGTAAAAGTTCATCTTCTACGTTAAGCCTGGTCAAACTGCATCTAATGAATGACTAAGGTGAATGCACATAATATACCTATTTCTACCTGTGTATACCTTGAAACCTGGTGCTCCTCTCACTGTAAAGAAGGAGTTTGTGCAAGGAACAGCTGGTTGAACTGAAGCACGCTTTTGAACCTGGATGAAACCACGGTGCAGAGCTCAGTCACAATTTCAAAGTTAAAACTAAAAATGACAACAGCTCTCCAAGTTCCTGTAACTGGAGGTGATGGAGGTGGCCAGAGGGGCTGCCAGTTACTGCCAGATGTCCTGTTCTTTTATGCATACCTTTAGTTATCTAAATTAAACGATGGTTTGGCAGGGAGATATTATTTCCTTTTGTTTTGGAATTTCCTGTCCACACCTTGGTTTAATTGAAGACACCATGGGCTGTCATATAACTAATACTGGAGTTCATAAAGCTGCACATTTGGGATAGTATGGACCCAAAGCTAGAGAGACAAATTAATATACAAAGGCATGGATGATGTGAAAATGGGAAACAAGGAAAAATAGCTAATAGTTATTTCAAGAGAAGAAAATTTAGGTGAAAAAAAAACATAGAAACTGAAGCAGGAAGTTTTTTTAGTTAGAAGAAAAAAAGGAAGGGAGGAGGATGAAGTAGAAAGAAGGAAGCAAAGAGGAAGGGAAGCAAATGATTGGGTAAACAGGGAATAGAAAAAGAAAAGGAGAAAATAAATGTTCTGTAAGTAAAAATATCCTTATACACATGAAACACGGGTATTTCTGCATTTCATTCAAACTCTTTGCAGTTGTTTTGTTCTAAACAGCAGCAGGGAATGTCAAACAGCTGTTTTTACAGCTTCTGTCACTTTGTCAAAGCCGGTCTGCACAGTCTGACTGCCAGGCACACCCAGACGGCACGCCAGTGTCAAAGCACTCTGATGAGCAGGTGGGCCATGCCTGCAGCCACACAGAAAGGTCAGCACTGGTGCCCGTCAGGCCCTCGGGGCTGGAGCCAAAACCAAGACCCTGGGAACCTGAGCCACATGGCAAAGTCAGTGCTGATCCCCATCAGGCCCTTGGGGCTGGAGCCCAAAACCAAGACCCTGGGAACCTGCTCGAGAAAGATAAGCAAACACTCAAGGCAGCATTTCTCTTCCAAAACCTAAAAGGCAATAAAATAAATAAATGGAAAAAAAATTAATAAAAAAAAAAAGGAAGAAAGAATTTGCCTAGAGATACAGCTAGTGATCAACTTAACGACCACGATTGGTTCCGACAGACTGGTCGTAACACGATTTGGTCATAAGTTGAGTAGGCTATATGTACAGTACTGTGAAATGATGTTATAAAAATCTTTAAGTCATATTTAATAATTTTCTTTCATTATTGTTAGATATCATAATTTTCTTTGTTCATTTTATGCCATTTGTATCATCTCTACACCATTTTGTTTCTTATTTTTACATTCGTCAGGTTTTAGTAAAACACTGCATTACCAGTACAACTGGTTTAATATTTGCAAAACATACAAAATTACAAAATACAGGTGCATACAAAAATACAAAATACAGGTGTAAAAAATACCATAGGAAACATTTTCCCAATTGCAAAACATATCAAAATATATAAACACGTACGAAACATTTTATTGACCGCTGGTGCTTGGCCATGGATCGTTGATGTCGTCATCTGAGGCAGCAGTTGGGGTTACCGGAGTTGGTTTTTTCATAAACATGGTGAGCTTTGTCTGAATTGTATGTTTCTTTTTTTCTTCATAAATTTCACGATACAGATGGAACACATCGTGTGCCATCCGTTCAATCCTTGCAAATCGTTCGATGTTTGGGTCCATTGCTTCGAAATGTATAAGAAGTTTATTGGGAGGGGTTTGATGAAAAATATCCAAGAAACAAAACACAAATTGCTGTACCGAGTCTGGGATAATAGTTGAAATGGTGCACGCGGAGATGGTAGTGCTGCTGGAAGCTGGTCCACACTGTCTTAACGCCCAGCTGGGCAACATTTGCGCTGCCAGACGCACAGCAGTCCTGGCTAGCGATTGTGGTTGTAAAGTCGAATGGTCGTAAGTTGCATAGGTCGTAAGTCGATCAATACCTGTAATCTTCCCTCAGTGCAAGCAGTAAAAAGCTCAAAGTCCGATGACATGGACTTAGGCCCCAACTCTGCCATTTCTAACCTACATGGCCTCAGGCTGGTTGTTTTGCCTCTGAAAGTCTCAGTTTCCCATTTATGGAATAAGGATAATACCTCACAGGGTTCTCATAAGGATTAAATGAGGTAGTAATACGGCTCACAGCCCAGAAAATAGAGGATCATGGTCAATATGATAAAAACTCATGTTTGGAAAAAAGAAACCAACAAACATAGATGATAGACAGATGGAGGGAGGGAGAGAGATTAGATAGACCGGTTGACTGATGGATGGATTGGTGACAGATACATAGATGAAGGCAGAGACAGAGATCCAGGAAAGCCTTTCAAATGCATTTTCGGTTTCTGAAAAATGTAAGAAGGGTCTTTTCCTACTCTCTTTCTCTCCTCCCATTCCTGCCAATGGCAGCAGGCCACTTGGAAATCACAAAGGTGACTCTCCTTTCCACCTCCCTTCCCAAACAAGCCCTCTAGTAGCACTGCTCATGGGGAAACACCGCCACATTCAACAGAGGTCTTTATCAGGGTAGGGGACCCTCAAGGAAGGAGCTTCCTCCCCTGGTGGTCTGTTCCCTCCTAAGAGTTACTGCGCTACTTCATGATGTGTCTGTGATGGGAGGGCAGTAGGGGACACAGAGATAAACAACCAGGAAGAAGAGATGAGATCTCAAAATCACCAGCATACGAGGGCAAGAGCAGCATATCTGTCTCTCCCCTGACAAGCTGGTGAAGTCGAGGATATGGTCAAAGGCCAAGGAGGATGTACATGGATGAGGGCCCCTTCCTCAACAGACCACAGCTTACCCAAGTGCCTCTTTACACGGCTCCTGCCAGCTCACCAGCACCCTCATCTTTATCATTCTCATCCCAGAGCAGAAGATTCCAGAAGACAAATGAGCCTTTTCTTCGGGGCCTGGAGAATCACGCAGTGTTTGCCCCCCAACTGGGCACTTGGCTTGCCAGTCTGAAAGCATGGCCGTTGGTCTGGCCTGCTTGAGACACTCAGATGATAAATAAAGCCTGCTCTTGCCACCACCTGTGCTTGGGCCCACCCCAAACACTTACCCAGGAGCACAGTGGTTACAATTATAAATCAAGCTAACAAACTGTTAACAAAAATATGCTCTCCCCTCCTACCTTGACAAATATACCTTCATAAGCCTGGAAAGTTTAAATATAGAATTTCCAGGCTCCTGGGAGCTCACGCTGGCAAATGGAGCTACGGGGAAAGATGACTTCCACCCCCGGGCTGCCCCCCACCTCTTCCCACACTGGGCTCTGTCTTGCCTTTGAGGGACCTCACACACAAACGGACACCCAGCCCGCATGTCCAAGCTCTGTCCATACCCCCAATGGGACACTCCATTCTTTAAAGGAAGTGCTGGGAAGAAGCTTACACAGACCCTAGCAGCAGATGTGGAGCCATTTGGCAGGGAATTGCAGGTTCTCGGATACCTGAAGTATGGTGCAGAAAGAGGGTCACTGAACCAGGTGCAGTGGCTCACGCCTTTAATCTCAGCACTTTGGGAGGCCGAGGCGGGTGGATCACCTGAGGTCAGGAGTTCGAGATCAGCCTGGCCAACATGGAGAAACCCAGTCTCTACTAAAAATACAAAAATTAGCTGGGCATGGTGGCAGGTGCCTGTAATCCCAGCTACTAGAGGGGCTGAGGCAGGAAGATCGCTTGAACCTGGGAGGTGGAGGTTGCAATGAGCTGAGATTGTGCCATGGCACTCCAGCCTAGCCACAGAGTTAAACTCCGTCTCAAAAAAGAAAGAAAGACAGAAAGAGGATTACTGTCCTTGG